GGTTGCACTATTTAGCCCTAAGTGGTGTAGTGATGGGAGTTTGGGAACACAACTTACCAAGTAGTAAATGCTACAGTCATGGGGACAAGGTACCCTAAGACTTATAATAGTAGATTTTTTTTTTTTTTAATTAAGCTATGTGTATATTAGGCCACAATTCTGTAGCTTCCTCTCCCCTCCCCTCCCCCCCCGCCATGTTGCCCAGTTGAAGTCTTAATGAGGTTACAAAGGATCAGTTATGCAGTATATTTGGCTTATTGACTGGCTAATTCACCAAAACACTAGCTAACTGGTTAGTTAACGCCCATTGAACTGTATTGTCTTTTCTTAGTGACCATCAAATTGAACTATAGAATTCCCCACTACTTACAAAAATTCACCAAACTACGTAAGACTGGAAATGAGACTGTTAGTGGAAGAAAATGTTTAGGATTGTTTTTCTTATTGAAGTAAGGATCCAACTCCTGGTTTCTAATAAGTATACAAACTCCTCTGATGCCAATAGGGGTTATGCAATAGTCAAAGATCTATAAACTTGTCCATCAACACAGTTCTTCTAATAGGTTATATTTTAATATGCTAAAATCAAGGACTTTATATCTTCCAAGAAGCTGTTGGGGTTTTTTAAAATGTTATCCTGGGATGTGTGCTGTTAAAACCTGCATTTAAAAGTAGAAATTGTAGACTTAATAGCTACATTAAATCTGCCATTTTAAAGTCCAAAATGTGTATGTACTCTGTACTTTTAAAGGTATAAAAACTGTTACAGATTGATCCAAGTATTGTAACAAGTATTTTGTATAGATTTTATTAGTGTATAAAAAATTTTAGTTCTTGTTGTACACCTAATTTGCCATAATCCAGTGGTTTATGTAATTTACAGGTGCTCAATTTAATCAGAGGCAGACTAGCAATAAAAAGTCAACTATTTTGCTATGAAAACTTCACCCTAAATAGTAGCTAAATAAAATGTCACCATGTACTACTGGAAAAGTTGTTAATAGTATCTATAGTGTGATGTAGGAATTTCTGATTAGTAACGTACTACAGAGGACTTCAATCCCATGTTGTGTTTTTCTTTACTGGTTTGTCAGTCCTTCAAAACTAATCTTCCTTGTATTATTTAAAGACAGTTTTTAATACGATATTTAATTACTGGTTATGTTACTAAAGGACAGGCAGACTTTCAAAACAGGCCTGGTTCATTAGTGCACTGTGAATTGGAAAGCACTGACTTCATAATAAAGATCACTTCTCAGGAGTACAAGATAGTGGTTTACAGTCTTTATTTATTGTTTTTTAAATAGTTAAGTCAAAAAAACGTATAATAAATGGCCTGTGAAAAGTCACTTAGGCCAAGAGATTCTGAAAAACTAAAATATCTGTTGTCATAAATATGCATGCCATCTGCTGCTTTTATGTGGTCAGAACATGTTTACAGCCATGCAAATTAAACTAACACCTCATATGGTCAAACAACCATAACCCAAACATGATGATGCCTTGAATGTACTGAACTATTAAAGCATGCGTGTCCTTGAAATCATGAAAATTACTTTTAAAAAATGTGAGTGTAAACTCCACAAAAATGGTTAATAAATGAAACAAAAAAAAATAAAGCCCAATATTTTCTCCATTCAGTCTCCACTTGGGTGGCTATTGCTTCGCCTGAACATGGAACGAGCTGCTACTTGCAGCAGTTTGGAATTGAAACTGCCTCCTAGATTTTATTAGGGGTGAAAACGCAGCCACAACAACAGATAACTCTTTATTTTCCAGTTTTGTGGAACAATGGAGAGTAGCATTTAATGATAGCTACTGGACAAAATTTTAGAAGTTAGGTGATATCCACACATTGTAATCAATTATCAGAGGGGTAGCCATGTTAGTCTGTATCCACAAAAACAACAAGGAGTCCGGTGGCACCTTAAAGACTAACAGCTTTCGTGGGTAAAAATGCATCTGAAGAAGTGGGTTTTTTACCCAAGTAAGCTTATGCCCAAATACATCTGTTAGTCTTTAAGGTGCCACCAGACTCCTCCTTGTTATTGTAATCAATCAATCAGATTGCCACTTTCCCCCATCAGTTTCATTCAGCCACACCTGCAGCCAATGTCTCAAACTACTGGAGATAACTTGTTCTTTATAAGCTGCTGTATATCAGTGGCCTTCAGCTTGCCACATGTATTTATATATGTTTCTCTTTTACGTCCACTCTAGCCATCTGGTCTGTCTATAAGCAACTCAGAGGCAGAACATCTGCCCAATAGCTAAAGAGGAGTCCTAAATGCTGCTGTATGTTGTCTTCGGTTAACCCTTTAGGACTAGATTCACTATCAGCATGCCTAAGTTTGTTTGTGAATGTTGCCATGCCTAACTTCCAGGTGTCTAGAAGATCCTGGGATCCATAAAGCCTGAGTTAGGCACCTTAGAATTGGATTCACAAAAAGCCAGAACATTAAGTGGCTCCCACTGGCTGAGGGTGCTTAACCCTGCCCCTCTAAGATAGCATCTAAGTCAAGGCTGCAGGGAGGCCTTTCCCTCCACCTGGGATTCTCAGCAGCGAACCCTCTCTTGGGTTAGGTGCCTATGCCATTTCTTTGCAAGAAGCTTGTGGGGGAGGGGAGAAGGAGGCTGTGACAGGTTGGATCAAAGAAACCCCCTTTGGGACTGCCACCTGATATGCCGAGACTACTTCTGAGCCCGTTTTCCCTGGCAGCCTGGGACTTCAGTGCCCTGCCTGGTTTGAGTCAGACACGCTTGCCTGCTACAAACCCAGACCCAGGTCTGAACAACGTCCCCCAAAAGCTGCAGGCTTAAGTGAAAACAGCTTAAGAAGTGCTCCTGTCTCCAACACTCAGGTGCCCAGCTCCCAAACCCCAAATAAATCCATTTTACCCTGTATAAAGCTTATACAGGATAAACTCAAATTGTTCGCCCTCTATAACACTGATAGAGAGAGATGCACAGCTGTTTGCCCCCTCCCCCAGTATGTATTAATACATACTCTGGGTTAATTAATAACTAAAAAGTGATTTTATTAAATACAAAAAGTAGGATTTA